GTGATTTTACTCTGGTTAGGATCATATATTACACATATTACATACATTTTTGTGTTTGCTGTAACTATAGATGTTAGCAGTTAGCAGTTAGAAATTGAAGTGAGCACTGGGTGTTATACGCAAACAGTGAATCATGGAACACTACATCAAAAACTAATGATGTCATGTATGGTGATTAACATAACATAATAAAGAAAAAAAATCTAAAAAAAAAAAGAAATTGAAGTGAGCTATTGTCATTCTAGGGCATATTCTGGAAACTGTTTATTGCTAAATTTTTATTAGGTTCCTGATGTCAGTTTGATTCCTTGTCACTGGTCTTAAGAAATAAATTACAACTCATTCAAAGGTATTGAATTACTAATGTAGTACTTCATAGTGCTTCATTGGTTAGCCTCCGTGTACATTGGTAGTTCTCTTTCCCTCACTGAATGTTAACTTTGTTAACATTGTTGGATTTTAATTTGTTTAATTGCATATGAAGCACTAATATTTGTCGCCACTCTAAGAATCTGTATTAGTCATGCCCTAAAACAAAAGTGTTGCATGATTTTCTTATGGCAGTGGTGCCGTAATACCTTTGGAAAAATAACAGTGCTGCTTTTCTGTGTTAGACTCGTCTAAGGCTCATCCCCGTGTATGTTTTAGAGAAGCACACATGAGTGCCATGAGGAGGAGATGGTTTTAATCCACCCATCATTTTTCTATCCATCAAACTTCTGTTGAGCGCTTGACATGCCCCGGTATCGTCCTAGCAACTGCAGTTGCGGATGTTAGTTTCCCAATACTCAGGGAGCACTGAATCTTCCCTTCCTGACTGGAGATCATGCATTCCCAGAGTCGTTGAAAAGGATTTTGCTAGATGACAGCTTTTGCCTCTGTGTGTGTGTATGCGATTTGCTCCACTTCAGTTCACTTTCTCCATGACCGCACTCCCTCACACGTAAAGTTCTACAAGTAACTTAAGTTTGCTGATTTTTCGTCTTTAGTCTCCTCCACTCTGCTAATTTATCATGTTGACAGGAGGGTTAATTTACCTTATTTGTAGCTTTTCTGCATCTTTCTGCACCTTTTATATCTGCACCTGTCATTTTAATGTGAACTCATGATACTTCCTTGATATTGTAAATTATTTCAATTTCTTAATACGTATTTTCTATTATAATACGATTCTCAACAGTGCAGTTTTTTGATGTTCATTATACTTCTATGGAGGAGAAGCTAATGTAATCAATCAGTAATTTTCCAAGTATCTCATTGCAGTGTATTGTGGTTGGCTCTACTTTAGAGTGTAGCTTAGCCCCAAAACCAAAATGAGATTTCAAATGCCCACATTATCCCTACTATGCAACAAAAACAAAGGAGCAATTTAGGGATGAATAGAAGACTGACTTTCTTTCAAGCACTTACTGGATAGTGGTGAAGTATGGCTAGGAGTTTCTTAGTATGGAAAGAGGAAGAAAAAGAGCCTCCCCTTATCTTGGCTCCCTTTCTCACATTCAAACAAACATGTATTTATATTTTACATGTTTACTAATTATGATATTCGTGTTTTTATTTACCACTGGGCCATTAGTATTTGGTAGATTCCTACTTCCTCTGTACACAGTGCAGTTTAATAAAGCAATATATATCTAGTAAGCCCTTAAAAAGTAGTTGACTGGGCCTCTGGAAATTTATTTATAATTAAATTTTCATGTGTCTTTTCCTGGTTTTGATTCATGGAATGAGAAAGACCTGGTTTTGATTCATGGACTGAGAAAGACCTAATGAGGAAGTCTGTGGTCAATTCGACACACTGGAACAGAATTTTAAAACTAGTTTGAACTTAGTTTTCCTTGTTTTTCCTTTTATATTTGGTTATAGTTTGGAGGGCATGGGGTGGGCATTGTGGTTCCTCATCTTCAGAAGACTCCTTTTAGGTTAGAACAAAATTAAAATAGCCTTGATATTTACACAGACTAAAATTTGTGACATCAATCCAAATCTTTTCCTTTTAAATTCTAGTATAAAACAAAACTAATAAAGTGTAATATTAAAAAATAATAATACAGCTTGAAAAAGTGGTGTGTCCATAAAGGGAACTTATTATTAGAATTGAGCTATTTAAATTTCTATTTGTATAATGACAAAAACGTCATAAGGCAAGTGTATAGAATGAGATTGGAGCCACCTGCTGGCTCATAAAATAATAATTTGTATCCTAAAAAATTTATTCCAAGCAACTAAGGAAAATCAAAGACAGTAACAGTTGAAACCAAAGTTTCCACTCAAACATTGGTATGTTAAAGGTGCTTTAAGGAGTTTTGCAGTTTATGCTTTGGAAGGTTTCTGTATATTCTTAAGTATATATACATCTGTTAGAAAGCTAATATTAGAAACCATTTATTGGAAAGTGATATACTTATTTGGCTAAATTTCCTATCTTTTTGTATCTTCTAAGTCCTTGGATTAGTGTGAGTTTTTGTTTTGTGTTTTAAACATCTAATCCACTGAAATTCTTCACAGTACCCAGGGCTTCTGAGTCTAATAAATGGAGTCTTACTGTATATCCTAAATAATTATAAATAAATATATAATAGGTGAGCATCACTTGATACCTTAGAGCATTTCTGCATTTTTCCTTGTCTGCAGGATTTTGGTAGTTGATCTTTGGTTTTATATTTCTCCTCTTTTAGATGTTAATATGTTCTCATAAGACCCAGAAAACAGTAAAAACATCTTTAGTTGGCCAAAGGCCTGGTATTGCACTTTGGCTGATACTTTGTTTTGCCAGTCTCCTTTCTAGTGTTGTAAACTGCCCTGTGAGGGCAGTTGGGGCTGTTTGCACTTCTAGTGAATTCCTTCTCAATCTGTGATGAGATTAGAATCATTTAAACTCAGGACAATTCCAAGAAGCTATGGATGGCTGATAAACACCTCAGTTAGAGTCAGTAGATGTTCTTGGTTTAGACGCAGTCCGCATTATTTAGTTCTGGTAATCTGTCTCCGTGTCCTGACTTACACTTTTTTGTGTGTCTGTCTTAAATTGATGAGGTAAAGCCTTGCTCATATGTTTTGGAAAAGCTCATAGCTTTTCTCGTGATACCATTCTTACGGAACCAACTCTGGAGATGTTATATGACCTTTTTGTATCCGGTATCTAGGTATTTATTCCCACATCATCAGAGTAAAGAAGTAGGATTTCTAGATGTGACATTGTTGCACCCAGTTGTCCAGGGTTTAGCAAATCAATTTAAATCTCTCGTTTTTATTTTCTTAATCTACAAAATATTACAGTGGGACCAGATTATTTCTTGGGTTCTCATTCACTATAATTTTTCCTATGGATCTGTGTTGATTCTGTGAGGATAACTGTGAACGTAAACAATGGTCTGTTAATCGTCTATTGTATTATTGCTATTTCAATTTGCCTTTTTCATTTTGTTTCCTTTTGCTGGAGTGATTATTTATATGGTCAGCACTAAAAAGATGAAAATGATTTCCCATTGTTAAAATGCAGTATTTAGCAATAAGATACCATGCTCTCCTACTTCTTTGCCAGTATACGTTTTTATTCCTCAAGAATATTAGTTAAACATTTATTGAATACTTACCATGTAGCAGACTGGTGCCCTGCACTAGAAGTAGTAATGCGTGAAACATAATTCCTGTCCTCAGGGGACTTTCAGTATAGTGATTTTTTTTTTTTTTTTTGGTTTGGTGACAATCTAATCTCCTCAGCCCTGATAATTTCCCTGTAGGTTCTGGCATATTCTCATATCTTTTTTCTAGGAATGTTAACCTGAGACGAGTCAACTTCTTTATGCCCTTTATGTGATTATAGTAAATTTCAATGTTCTCTTAGGGTCAGAAAAGTACATGTCAACGATTTTGTAAAAATGACATATATATCTTTTAGAGCATAGTATATTTCTGAATGATGAGAAATTAATTTTTTCATTGGTCCCTACCTTGTAGGATAGTAGTCATAAATGAATGAAGCCCAGGTTGAGAGACATTTAGACACATTTAGAGAGACCTTGAAGTTAAAGAAGAACCTTTAAATCTACTGAGAACAGTTCTTAGAATAATTTAGGAGGCAGTATGGGTGTTTTGTATCCTTGAAAAGTCTTTGAATGGCAACTTTATATACTGGATTATATTTAACTTCCCCTTACTCAGCTGTTTATGAGAGACCACGAATTGTTACATTTGTGAATTAAGTTACGGTTTTACACACCTTTGCCTTTGTTAAGACAGTGGAGGAAAAGGGGTCATTTCAGAAGTACTGTTTCTCTAGCTGAGTTCACGAGTGCGAACAAGCTGGCGCTGTCGTAGCTTCATAGTTGTAAGTATATTCCTGGTTTTCCACTAGGTAAGGTCTCTGGTGTAGAAGAGGCAAAGACCATATAAATTCACTTCATTATTTCCAAAAGGTAATCCAAGAGACATTTATGCAAGTGTAGCTCTTCATGCTGCTTTGTACTTTGGGTAAGAAAGGTGCTGTAAAGGAATTTTATAGACCAGCTGACTTGATTTTACTTAAAATGTAGTTTTATCGTTAGTTCAATATTAATGAGTTTTTCCATTCATGTAAGTAAACTTAGGAGGTCCACTTAATTCAGACTTTTTTTTTTTTTTAGAAATAGTTTCATTTCAACTTCAGGTAGTTTTACTGTGAATATATTTTATAATACTTGTACCAGAGTCCTTATGTTAATCTCGAATGTCATCACAGCAGTGATTCTTAAAGACCATTAATGTAGTATAAATCTGCACTTCTTTTGAGTAAAATGATTGTCATAATCAGACCATTATTGTGATATTCTAACACCATTTCTGAGATGTCTTGTTATGTGAAATAAAAAAGATAATGATACTAATGATTGGGGTATAATACAGGCATAATAGGCTATATCTATTGATACCTTGTCTTTACTTTTATAGTATTTGATCTTGTCATAATACGGCTGCCATCATTATGAATTCTTAACTTTTCTCTTACTTTAAACACATAGGGATGTGAGATTATTTCAACGCCTGACCAAGACCATACCGACTTTACCAAGTGTCTTGAACTGCTCCAAAAAAAGATAGAAGAAAAAGACTTACAGGTAAGATATACACCTTTTTGGTGGTTAAGAGTCTTAGTACCAAGGATGTGAAAGATCCTGCTTAAAGTTTTTACTCCTCTGAAGTGATTAGTTATTCTTGTGCGAATGTTTTGGCTGTCAGATTTTTCCTGTATATTGAATAAATCTGTACTTAGCTGCCAAAGTATTAATGTGCACTTAAATCAGAGGTCAAAGATTCAAATACCTTATAGTGATAAAGTCACAAAATGGGTGAAGTGGACCTTATATAAAGTAGTTGAAACTGGCAGCTCATTCTTGGCCTAAAATGAGTAGCAACTTTTCATCTCTCATTCATCGTTTCCATGAAGACCTATTTGTGTTTTCTTTTTATATGTGTGTTTAAATATCGTGAGGGCAAAACAAACAAACGTGGCCTATATTTGGCCCATGAGTCATCATTACAAACTCTTATATAAACAAACAAAACATGATCAACTTTTTTAAATCAGAGAAGAGTCTGCTACTTTGCATTTGTGGACTCTAAAGTATTCAATGATTCTCACCTAGCATCCAAGCATTTAATATCACTAGTTAGCTAGTATACATGTTTATATTTTATTATATTTCACAATTTTTCTTGGTACTTGAAATAATATGCAAAATATTTTTTAAGCCAGTGTTTAGTGAAGATCAACCAAATTAAGCCTGAAGCATTGAATGGCAATTGACCATTCTTTTACTGGCAGAAGCAGGAGGGTAAGCTGAGGTGCACGATCAGATTTGTAATTTTAAACTAAGAAAAGTAGCAAAACACCTTTGTACATTAAAATGCTTTTGATGGTACAAATAACAAGAAGTACATTTCAACCTGGCCTCAATAGTCAGATAGGTAGTCTTCAGATACAACTCAGATGTCTTGTCTGTTTCTTTGATTGTCTTCATTCTGCTTCGTAGGCTTTGTCTCTAGTATGGTTTAGCATTTTAGCAGCATTTTAGCCCTTCACATATAGGGGGATTAAAGGAGCAGGGACATCACTTCCCATCATCATCATCAAACTTCAGTCCTGAGATCTCTCCATTAGGCCACTCGTGGTTTGGGCAACATAGGATGAGAGTACCCTGATTGTCTTGGACTGGAGCCGGGATTGAGATCCATCCACCTGTCTCATGCAGACTAATAGCTATGTGGCAGGACAGCAGAGGTGTTGGAGGGGCAGACCTAAGAAAAACTTACTCCCTCACAAAAGTTTTTCAAAGATTGCTTTTGGCATATATTTACTAAGTTGAGGTAGTAGATCCTTTTCTGTCTTTGAAGACAAGCCTTGTTAATTATCCTAATTGACAAGTAGCACATTGTACAAACTGAACAAAATTGAGTGAACATTTCCCATCTCTGTTGTAGCTTGAACTATACCAAATGTATTGTGCTATTTCCAGCAATAAATTGCTATAATTAAATATTTGTTTAACGAAAACAGAACACAGCCCATTGAGAGTTATCTGCTTCATCCAGACATAGTTTCTTAGAAAAGAAGTTGTAAATTCTTCACAACTGGTGTTTCAGTTTTCCTAGCATCAACACTGAAATTATTGAAAGCTGGGAATGCAATTATGTGTGTAAAATTGATAGTATCTGTAATACAGTATTTGGTCATTAAGTCTGAAAATAAATAATAGTATCTCAAACTTAACGCTGAAATTCAGAGAGAGCCTTAAACTGAGGGAAGAGGGTGATCAGGTATCAGGTGTATATGATCTGCGAAACTAATCTGGTAAGGTCTTGGATGATCCAATAGGGAGGACAGAATCAAGACCTGTTAGAGCAGTCGTGCATTGAGCAGAAAGGACCAGACCCTCCTACCCCCATTGTGGTTAGTCACGAGCTACAAGCTGTCAGGGAAGGGTGTGGCCTTGGTGGCCCACTTTGCTGTATCCTGGAGTTGCCACTGGGCCATGACAACCAGCTGGCCCCCTCACAGCGCTAGCGAGTTCTTTCTAGGGGGAAAAGGAGCAGTGCACTTCCACGGCTGCCTCAGGCCCCTGGCATGATTTAGGCCCAGCACGTTCTCCAGCCTCGTCTTGTACTACTATTTCTCTTTGGAAAATATACCCTAGTCCCTCTCCTTCTCTGCCTTAGGTGTTGTCTCCTCTGCCTAGATTGTTTTTGCATATCATTTGAATATTTTTCGAATTTTTCTTTCTCTTCACCTGTCCCACAATGGCAAAATAGGTGAGGTCATTAAGGAGGCCTTCTCTTCCCCATTCCTCCAGGTTAGTTTCTGCCACTCTATGTATCTGTACCCCCTTTGTTCTCCTTCAAGGCACTCTGAACACTTCCAGTAATTGTGTTGGTTATTTCTAATTGTTTGCTGGAAGCCTTTCTTCCCAGCCTGACCATATAGCCCACAAAGCTGGGACAGATCTGTCTTGTTCATGCCTGAACAACAGCACCTTGCATGGAAGAGGTGCTTTGTGACTGTTGAGTCTGTGTTGTGCACTATGGGAACGCACAGGGGAGTTGAATACAACACAGGTAGGGGAAGGGCTTCTTAGAGAAGGGCTGAGACATCATAAATGGATAGGGGTTGCATGGCAGAGGGAAGAAGAGCGTTCTAGGATAGATACCTCAGTACTCAGGGAGGATGGATAGCTCTTCAGTGAACCAATGGCAGGGAGTTTGAAGAGTTCTAAGATGGACAACAGTGTGATTAGTTTGGTGTTTTAAAAAGCATCGTTGGATAAACTGAAGGCTCCATGACTCACAACAAAAACCTTGTGGTTTCCTTAATATAACCTTCAGGTTAGAGTAAATCTGATGAAATAGAGTATCTGTGAGCTTCCACTCGACTTTACATTTAACCTGGAGATACAGCATTTCATTTGATTTAATGTAATAGCAAGAGAAAGGCTAAATTAGAAAGACTAGCAAGGAAAGTAATAAAAGATGCTCCTACCCCCAAGTGAGATCATCTTGAGATGAGGGCTGTTCAAAATTTCTACTTAAAATGCACATAAACTACATAGAAATATCTTTTATACTTCTCCACCTAATAAGTCCTATCAAGGGGCGCCTGGGTGGCTCAGATGGTTAGGCGTCTGCCTTCGGCTCAGGTCATGATCTCAGGGTCCTGGGATCGAGTCCCGCATCGGGTTCCCTGCTCAGTGCAGAGCCTGCTTCTCCCTCTCCCTCTGCCACTCCCTCTGCTTGTGCTCTTCTGTCTATCTCTCTGTCAAATAAATAAATAAAATCTAAAAAAAAAAAAAAAAAATAAGTCCTATCAAATTATCATACATTTGTATTTCTACTTACTAAATTATAAATATGAATTTGTCATCAAAGTGTCTATATTTGTAAGAACTTATCTTACACACTTTAAAATGTTAGTTATAAGATAAATTAATATTTAATATGTTAAGAAACCGTACTATGTAACATCTTAGAACTTTATAGAATTTGAATTAGTCTGTCCTTACCCTGAAGGAGCTTACTATCCAGAACATGTGCTTAATTTTTTAAAATTTCCCTAAATCACTACATTTATTTATCTATTTTAAACCTATTCACCCTCAACTTTTATTCTTTTGCAAAAGGATTCACCAATACGTGTGACTTTTTAATGCTTTGCTTTCATGTTACCACGTTATTTATCTGTAACTGAGTCATGAATAATACATTATTAGGATGCCATCTGATATGACTGGATCTTCAAAGAGCACATATATTTTCTGATGTCATGATGCATACTTGAGATCTAAACCTTTGAATTCAGTGGAAAACATTAAAAGCTATTGCTCCAACTTTCTAAAAATGTAAGATGCATGTTGTTTAGGAAGAAGCAAAACAAATCTAGATTATAAGGCCCTGAGAATAACAGGCCTCCTAAAATACAGTTGGAGTATTTCCTACTATTATATGATGACAGAATTCTGTATTTCAGTCTCTGAGGTTTTATTTTTTATTTTTATTTTATTTTATTTTTACTGGCTGCTTGGAGTTTATTTTCCACTTGGTACAAGGGACACAGTTCCAGGGTGTGAGGAAGACTTGCGTGTGGCTTGGATAGTAAAGAGTGGGATTCTCACAACTTCGTTTTTGGTGTTTTGCTATTTTGATATAAAAGAACCCAATTGCTTCTGCTTGTGGCAGCCTGCCTAGTCTATGGGGTAGGGAGGGGGGGTCCAGCACCTCCTGAAGCCTGGTGGTGGCCACTCAGGATGGTGGCCTGGTGTTGGCTTTGCCAGGCTGGTCACCAAGGTGCTTCCTCATGGCTTCCAGAGCCAAGTCACGGTTGATCGTGCTGCTGGAGACCTGAGGAGATTCCGAGCGTTCTGGGGACTCCAACACTGTAGCCATGAACGGGAGAGTGGACTTCCCGAAGAAGAATTTTGCCCACCAGTGACCGGGGTCAGCCCTGGGGTGGTGAGGGATGGCTTCCCCAGCATACTCTGCACGTCTGCAGGAGCTGTTACTAGAAGGGGAGCCTGGGCAGTGGGGGTGATAGTCGTGGGTGGCCACGAGCGAACCGCTGGAGGGGATGGCTGCCATGCTGTCGCTTGTGGGCTGGTGGAAACCTGCGCATGCAGGGATCAGGGTGCCCCTCCGGTCACCCGCTGCCCCTTGGGCAGGGTGTTCCCTGCTTGGGCTAGTCTCTGAGGTTTTAAACACAGATTTAATATTAAACAAAATTTGGGCAGAAAAGTTGTCCTTAATTGCACACTGTTGGTTGTATAAATTTAAATGCATACTAGTTTAATTTGTTGAAACTTTAATACATTTTATCCCCCTTGTCCCATGTTATTTTTTTAATCAATTTTTCAATCAAATAATGTAGGATGTGGAAAAAGTACTATATGAATAAGAGCTAATGCCTAAATTTTATGCACACAAATATTAATAACTGCAATTAAATACTACATAAAGACTATGGGATTATTACATATTAAGTTTTTTAAAATTATTTTAATAGACTGAGCAAATATTGGATTGTGACTTGTATGTATTAGAATAGTTTCTATGCATTTATGTCTGAATTGGAATT